TGGACCTAGTCCCCCTTTCCTCTTGCTAGCCGTCTCCAGGAAGGATGGAAGATCAAGAAGACAAAGCTGTAGAGGAAAAGAAAATATGAGATGCCAAATTTATTTTGCAGTTACTAGGTTCCTCAGGCTGGAAACAATACCACAACAGTTCCACATTTATTGTCTATAATGGCACAGGTCAAATGAGACCCTGAAGAGTATCCTATTCAGATGAATGGCTATGGGTATAGCTCCCTTAAGCCACCTCACAGCCTGGGATGTACTCATAGACTTTCTCCAACAAGGCTATGTCAGAGGCATTCAAGCCAATTTCTGGGGTGTCTTAAAACCTTCTCTAGGGCCCCATTAAGGAATCAATTAAAGAATTCCATTTATGGCCCCAGCCATTCCTATGTTAGAACCACAATCCTATCAGTATTATTAGTGATAATCATGTCAAATATTTTAAGGGTTTATCGACATGCTCTCAGTGGACTAACAGGACAAAGTTCAAGTCCCACTGTACCTCACAGTATGTGTTTAATCAATTAGAGGTCCCACAGAGAAGGAGCTTCATGATTATGGGACTGGTTTATGTTCCAGGAGTCACGTGAGCATATTTTGGTGAGGTTAAAGAGCTTATTAAAAACTATTCAAGAGTTGGGCGCAGTGACTTACTGCATCTCTAAAGAACCCCTGTAGGAGAGCTAGTACTGGGAGGGCCCCGGGAGGGCCCCACCCAAACAAACTCAGCTTTCGAAGCTGTGCAGCCCTCTAGCGGCTCTGCGCATGAACAGTTTCTCCCATGGTCTCACCCTACACATGGGGCAGCCCCTTCAAATACACCCCGATCTGCTCAGTGCAGCCTATTTGTTCCCAGGCACTGCCCCTCCCAGGACCACCCGCAGCCCTAAAATTTTCTACCTCAAGCTGTATAATTTTGAGTGAAAGTCCTTCACCCCTAGAGCTTCTGAATCACCACCCACTTCTCTTATTTTCTCAATTAAAATCCTTGCCCGAATCTCTTAAAACGTTTACGGTTGGCCTTGGATCACACTTCTCTGCTCGATGCCCCAAGGCTGCGTAGCTGAACCCGCCCGCTTCCCAAGGCATGGCTCTGGCGCCCCCTGGAGGAAGCACAGTGCCACCAGCCTTGAAGGCACGCTGCCCAAGAAGGCGGGGCAGGGCTCAGCAGGCAAGCCAGTACAGCCAGCGGTCAGTCAGGAAGTCTCCCGCACAGGCCCCACCGCTGAGCCAGTGAAGATGGCACAGAATGAATGAACGTGGCTCTACGGCCCCGCCTACCATGAAATCCCCTCCGCCCCCTCCCAACAGCCCTGCTGTCACTCAAGATGGCGCCTGCGCAGTACGCCTCTGCCGCCCCACCTTTGGCAACACAAGTGGTGCTACGATGGGCGGGGCTCATGTCCACTCGTACAGCCAGGGCAGCTGTCATTCAACGTGGCGCCTGCACTGCGCACCTGCAGCATTGAAGCCTTGCTGCTCCATCAGACAAGACCCACATGCTATGGCCTCCATCAGTCATTCAAGCCAAGGCAGCCCCTCCCTCAGGCCCGCTCCTGCACTCAGTCCAGCTATCTATCATTCAGGACAGTGCCTGCACAGTACACCTTGGCTGCCACCTAATGGCCAACAAAGACGACACCACAGGGTGGGCGGGGCAATGCAGCCCCTGACAGTCACTCAGTCCTCTGCACCCAACCCTACAGCCGACCCAGCAGCCCTCCAAAACAGCGCCTGTGTAACAGTCCCCACGTGCCCCACTGTGGCCAAAGACTGCGCCAGGGTGGACCAGGCTAGGCGGCCCCCAGCAACTGAGACAGCCCTTCCTCATGTCCGCCCCTGGGGCCCACACAGGTGTCACTCAAGACGGCGCCTACGCAATCGACCTCAGGCGCCCCTCTGTGGCAAGTACAGACAGTACCAGGGAGGTAGGGGGTCCCCTCAGCTGGGTGAGTCCCGAAGGACGGCACGTGGCCCCAGCCTTCAACTCCGCGAGCAGGGCCCCTGCGCAACCTGCCTTGCAGCTTCCCCGCCAAGCCACCCTAGACACAAGATACAGCTAGATACATCTGAGGTGAACAAAGTCTTGGTCAGACAACAGGGGAAGAAGGGGTGAGCCAGAAACACAGCGGGCGCGCTAACAACACATCGCCGTGTCCTTGAGGACAAATGGCTCTGCGGACACTACGGCATACTTTAGCAACTCCTCCTGCTCCACCAGATGCGGGGACCTAGCCAGTCCCATTCACTAAACAGCCCCGCGACCAGCACAGACAGTGAGAGGAGCGCGGCACTCCACAGCTTTCCATGACTGTGGACACGGCCGGCGCGGCAGCCGCAGCCCGCCACTCCCTGCGGACAACCCCATACCTATGCGGCAAACCGCAGCCGCCCCCATCAATTATGGCGGCCCAGTGGGCGGGGCTTGAGCAGACAGTCAAGTCAATGCCACCTGCCGCCACTTCGGCTTTGCTCCGCCCTATCTGCCACCAACCAACCCAAGCAGCGCCTGGGCAGCAAACCTCAGCCACCCCTACAAAGATGGCGCTCAGGTGGGCGGGCCTCGAGCCCACAGTCACGTCCTATTCCAACCGCAACCACTTTGGCTTTGCCCCACCCAACCACCCAGCACAGCGCCTGCGTAACAAATCTCAACCTCCACCATTAAAGATGGCGCCCAGGTGGGTGGGGATTGAACAGACCGCCTTATCCAATGCCACCCAGTCACTTCAGCCTTGCCCCGCCTCATCTTCTACCAACCAACCAGGGCAGCCCCCATCAAACATGGCACCGCCCCCCCCGGGTGGGCTGGGCCTGAGTAGAACATTACATCCAATGCAAACCAGTCCGGTCAGCCTTGCCCCACCCCATCTGCCACCAACCAACCAGGGCAGACCCTGCGCAGAAAACCTCAGCAGCCCCCATCAAACATGGCGCCCGGGTGGGCGGGGCCTGAGCGGAACGTTACATCCAATGCAAACCCGTTTGGTCAACCTTGCCCCACCCCATCTGCCACCACCCAACCAGAGCAGAGCCTGCGCAGCAGACCTCAGCAACCCCCATCAAACATGGCTTCCCAGGTGGGCGGGGCCTGAGCATACAGTTACAGCTAATGCTACGCAGTCACTTCAGCCTTGCCCCTCCCCATCCACTATTAACCAACCAGGGCAGAGCCTGCGCAGTAAACCTCAGCAGCCCCCATCAAACATGGCTTCCCAGGTGGGCGGGGCCTGAGCATACAGTTACAGCTAATGCTACGCAGTCACTTCAACCTTGCCCCACCCCATCCGCCACCAACCAACCAGGGCAGAGCCTGCGCAGTAAACCTTAGCAGCCCCCATCAAACATGGCACCCGGGTGGGCGGGGCCTGAGCAGATGGTCACATCTAATGCTACGCAGTCACTTCAGCCTTGCCCCGCCCCAACCACTGCCAACCAACCAGGGCAGAGCCTGCGCAGTAAACCTCAGCTGCCCCCATCAAACATGGCGCCCGGGTGGGCGGTGCCTGAGCAGATGATCACATCTGATGCTACGCAGTCACTTCAGCCTTGCCCCGCCCCATCCACTACCAACCAACCAGGGCAGAGCCTGCGCAGTAAACCTCAGCAGCCCCCATCAAACATGGCGCCCGGGTGGGCGGGGCCTGAGCGGACGGTTACATCTAATGCTACGCAGTCACTTCAGTCTTGCCCCGCCCGATCCACTACCAACCAACCAGGGCAGAGCCTGCGCAGTAAACCTCAGCAGCCCACATCAAACATGGAGCCCAGGTGGGCGGGGCCTAAGGAACCTTACATGTAACGCTATGTTCACTTCAGCCTTGCCCCGCCCCACTTGCTGCCAATCAACCAGACCACCACCTGCTCGGCAAATCTCAGCCACCCTCCTAAAAGATGGCACCCAGTGGGTGGGGCTTGAACAGACCATTACATCCAATGCCACCCACAGTCACAGCAGCCTTGCCCCGCCCTAACTGCCACCAACCAACCAGGGCAGCGCCTGCACAGCAAACCCCAGCGCGTCCGAGAGGGCGGAGAAAGAAAATGTCCTGCAGGCAGGCCAGCCCTCTACCCCGCCCCTTGGGGGCCTTCGCCCCTCCCACCACCACTGCGGCAAACAAGTCCCGCCCCCAGAGGGCAGCTGGGCATGCCGGCACGGCCAGCCGGACGGCAGTGCGCACCAGGGGGCATCCTCGCGGCCCCAGACCCAGCCCGGGAAGCCCAAGGCTTTTAAGAGCCGCACTCTGGCGCGGCAACAGGCACGGTACTGGTGTCTGCCCTGCCGGACTCGCCGTGACAGAGCCCCCGCTGTCCGCCCCAATGCCCCAGGGTTGCTGCGGTGGCCGCGGAGACCCCGTAGCAGCCCCTCGGACCCCAGCCCGCAAGATGGCGGCACCGCTGTGGCAGCCCAGGCCGCACTCGCCCCTACCTGCGCCCACCCCTGCCCCGAAACAACAGTATAGACTGCCCGGCCGCCGCGGTGCCCGCTCTCGGCGCGGGAAGCGCGCAGCCACGTGCCGCGCCCGCCAGCCTGCCTGGCCACGAAGATCGCCGGCTTGCCGCGGGGGTCTTGCCGCAAAACAGCCGCTCTGGCCCAGCGCCATCGCGACACCAAGGTCCGGCGGGCAAGAGGCGCGTGGAGCGGCTGAAGGCGCACTCACCTCACCTCAAGGCAGCGCAGCCTCGGGCGCGAAAGGCCACCTAGCGCACCCACACGGCGCCCGGCGCCCGGCGGCGCCACCAGCCCAGGGTGGACATCTCCCGCGCCTGGCCTCCCAAACCTCTCCTCCTGCGGCTCCCGGGCGTCTGCACCGAGGGGCAGCTCGGCGCCTCCTAGTCAGGGCTCCTCTGCAGAGGCGGGGCTTCCGTGCCGGCCAATCAGCGGCCTCGCCGCCCTTTCCAGGCCCCCTCTCCGGGCCCCTCACCACGACCCCGTGACGTGCCAATCAGGCTGCGGTTGCCACAGCAACAGCTTGGCGCGAAGGCTGGGGGTTGACGTCAGGGAGTGGCCGTGAGGGATCCCAAGGCCAGGTCTGGAAAGGGGGGGCGAGGGGGTGAGCTGGGTGGTGGGGGTGCAGCCCCCAAACAAAGACATGGGAGTCGAAACGGAGGAAAGCCCACTAAGATGCTCATATGTAAAACCGCTGAGGAATAAAGGGACAAATGTACACATTTGTCTAAATGAAGAAAATGAAAATCCTGCCCGCAAAACACACATACATTAACTTCTAAAGACCTACGGGGAAGACAAGACTTTTCCGCCTGGGACACTGAGCTAATGTCCTTAATAAATGAAGAGCTCTTGGAAACCAACGAGATAAAGACCAAACCAAGCCAGAAAAATGGGCAAAGGGGAGAAAAACTGGCAATTCGCAAAAAAAAAAATGCAAACGGCTGGCCGACCTGCGAAAGAAACATCGCGACCTGACTACTTGCATAAAGAAATGCAAACCTGAAACACCGGGCACGTGCGGTTTATGGGAGCGGGCAGTCACACACTACTGAGTTGTTTCCCACCAGCCGTCAGTACAGACCTTCCACGGTGTGAGCCCACTGCATGCCATTTAGTAAAACAGCAAGAAAATGAGAGATAAAAATAATGAGGTAGCCTTGTATGGGATTATTAAGGACTGAACTCTCAATAGACTTAGTGAAATATACAAGTTACTGAAGTTTGTAGAAACCAACTGGTAAGTGTTTTCTCATTTATTTGTTTTTGAAGGATAAACGTAAATAAAGGTAAAACTTACCGAAAGATATGCAAGAAATTGTTAATGGGTTACCTCTAGGGACAAGGAATGTGGGTTGGAAGACGGATTTTTCCCTTCTGCCATCCACATTGTGAATTTCCTTGGCAGAAATAGGTATTTCTTCTCTGGCAGTAAAATCAATGAATTACTAAAAGTTCACTAATGTACTCTTTGGTCCAACTACTCCACTCTCAAAGAACTAAAAAAACAAAGAAAATACAGAGACATACAGAAGATTCTATACAAGGATATTCACAGGGCATCATTTTTATCGCCAAAAATGTGCTCCATGGCAAAGAATTAAACTGTATTCTACCAAATTTACACAGCACAATTTTAAGTGGCTAACAAAAATGCTGTATGATTTTAATTTTAAAGGAAAAAAATCTGTAAGACATGGTTCATTACCAAAAGGTGTTTACCCAAGGAGCACACAGACTTTAATACCTCAAATTAAACTTGCTAATTATATTCAAGGAGTTATCAGTGGTTGCTTGCTATACTGAGAATCTGCTTTATGTGTTTTAGACTCCCCAGACCATCAAGAGTCTCTTTTTGCCCCGCAGTGCCACATAAACGTAATATACGAATGAAAACACTGTGCTTATGAAAACACATCTTCAAAACAAGTTCTCTGGCAGAAAGACCGAAGGCAAAAGTGATAGCAGCCTTATTTAAGTTAGAGATATTCAAATCTGGCTACTCATCAGGCTCACCTGGAGAGCTGTTAAACAATGCAGATTCCCAGTGTCCACCAGAGGATCTTTGTTTTTCAGGTCCCCAGGGATCCTAATGTGTGGTTAAGGTTGTATAGGTGATTTTAACATGTTTTAAGGACTCCATCATCCCCCTCTCTCCTCAAAGGCCTCTATCTGCAATATCAGTTTCTCTCTGGATCCTGGATCATTCATTTCCACCAGACACTACATGCTTTCAGAGCTCCTGCATCTACTCCCCCCCTTGCTCAGCACCTCCTGGCCCTGAAAATGCCTCTTGATGATAGAGTGGTCTACTGTCACTGACTCAACGGTCTTACCGTACATTCTCTCCTATTAACATGCATGCCCCACAGGCTTCCATCCCTTCCAAACCCACTGAAATTGCTCAACAATTTCAGCGATTCCTTATGTGGCCAAGAAACTTGCTTTTAATCTCACCTGACTGCTCAGTAACATTCAATATCCTCATTAAAGCAAGCAAACAAAAACAAAATCCCACGCTATCTTCTCTTACTTTTGGTGACAATTACATAGCCCTGGTTCCCCCCACGGCAGTGGTCTCTTCTCAGTCATAAATGGCTTCTGCTCTGCTCACCATCTACAGACTGGAGGGTCTTACTTCAGAACTTAGTCATTAGTCTTCTCCATCAATGTCCATTCCCTAGGTAGCAACCCTTCCCTCCTCACCCAGTCACATGATTTAAATGCCACCTACATGCCCATGGCTCCCAAATTCCAATCCTCTGCCACAGGACTGTCCACAAAAGTGCAATCTTTTGCTTGGAAACTGACTACCCCCCTTGGATGTCTATCAAGCAACTCAAAGCATTTAAAACAAATATTAATTTCCCCTTTCCTCATTTCTGTAAACAGTACCAGTTGCTGAAGCCAAAAAAAAAAAAAAAAACCCTCACAATTGTTCTTGTTCCCCTTACCACCAACATCCAATTTATCAGCAGGTCTTGCTGATCCCTATATCTAACACAAATCCCAAATTTGACCCCTGATTTCCCTTTCCATGGTAGTCCTAAGCAACATCATCTTCCTGCAAAAACCCTTGGAAGCATTCCAAACCCTCGCTCCAGTATTCTCCACGTAGTATAAAGGGGAATTTTTCAAGGTAAAAAAGATGTCATGTTCCAGCTTGAATGATCTTCTGCTCCCCACCTCAACTGCACTTAAAGTCCAAAATCTGTACCATTAACAAAATCACAACAGCCAACATTATCTTTTGTCTTATAGGTGCTGTAAAATTTCACATTTTTATGTCTAATTTAAGAAATTCTTCCCCACACAGAGGTCATAAATATATTCAAATAGTTGTACATTTTAGTTTTCTTTACAGCTGTTTTTGCCTATGTTCTATGTTAGGGATCTAATTTTCCCATGACTTTGTATCATGTTTCTGTGTATGAGTGGGTCTGTGCTTAAACTCTCTTGCTGGTGCCCTGAACCATATCTGTATCTTGTGCATTAAGGCACCATATTATTACAGCTTTACAGTATCTTGGTATCTGAAAGAATAACTGTCCTACCTTGTTTTCCAAAAGTGTCTGGCCCTACCTTGTCTTTCAAAAGTATCTGACTCTTAGCCCACCATCTTTCAAATAATTTTTAGAAGCAGCTTTTAACGTTTGATGAACTATCCTATTGAGATTCTGACTGACATTTTATTAAATCCACCCAGCAATTTAGAGAAAACTGAAAACATATCAAGACCTCTCATCTTTGACCATGTGTCTATACTAGCATTTATTTGTATCTCCTATGGCCATCAACAATACGTTGTAAATTATTTTCCCTATATTAGGAGGTCCTTTTTTTCCCTATTAATTGTATAACTGGTTAATAGTTTCAGAATTACAAAAAGTTGCAAAGATAGTACAAAACTTCCCCACCCCATTTTCCCTGATGTTAATACCTTATATAACCTTGGTATTTTGTCAAAAAGAAGAGATTAATATTAGCACAAAACAAACTACAAACTTTTTTTGATGTCCCCCCTTTTTCCATTACTATCTTCCTTCTGTTCCAGGATCTTATTCTGGACTCAGCATTACATTTAGTGATTCTGTCTCCATAGGCTCCCCAAAGCTGTGACAGCTTCTGAGTATTTTGTAGAATGCTCCTCAGTTTGATATTTTCTCACAATTTGAGTTTGGTTATGAATTTTTGAGAAGAGTATCTGCTATTGCTTTATTTGCCTTTTTTTTTTTTTTTTTTAAGACAGAGTCAGGCTCTGTTACTTAGGCTAGAATGCAATGGCACGATCTAAGCTTACTGCAACTTCCACTTCCCGGGTTCAAGCAATTCTCCTGCCTCAGCTTCCTGAGTGGCTGGGATTACAGACACGCACCACCATGCCCGGCTAATTTTTGTATTTTTAGTGGAGACGGGGTTTCACCATGTTGGCCAGGCTGGTCTCTTAATTCCTGACCTCCTGATCCGTCCACCTTGGCCTCCCAAAATGCTGAGATTATATGCATGAGCCATACCCAGCCTGCTATTGCTTTTTATATGCTGGCTTTGGATCCAGTAAACTTGACCTTTTTTTTTTTCCTGTAGTTTTATTTGTCTATAAAAATTTCCTGTATTTTAAAAATATTAACATCTTAATTTTTCATGCTTTCATTTTTACTTTCACTGACAATCATACCCCATTTCCTTAACATAATGAATTGGCCAGGTCTTCTTGGTGATGAAACAAGTGTTGTCCTATATTTGAAAGGGGATACTCTTATCTTTACTATAAAGTAAAAACATTAATTGCAGGCTTGTTTTGTACACCCTCTTTATTGGAGATTAAGGAAATTTCCTTAAGTTCTAGTTTTTACAAAATTTATCATAAATAATTTTATAGAATGACTTCTCTGCATCGATTGGGAAGATTATATTTTATCATTTAACATAATCTGACGATATGGTGACTAAAGCAGATTTTCTTATGTTGAAAACGGTATTCCTAAACCCTGCTTGATCGTGATTATAAGGATCTCATTCATACACACATGCAGCTGGGTAATACTGACTTACACTTTTTTTATTACACTATCTTCGTCTGGTTTTGCTACGAAGATATAGCCTTATAGAATGCTTTGGATTGTTATCTCATTTCTTATATTCTCTACGATAGTTTATAATCTCCTCCCCATTGGGAATTATGTCCCTTTTTCTATTACTAATATTATTAATCTATCTATGGTTTCTCCATCAGTTTTGCTAAAGATTTTGACAGTTTTGTCTTCTTAAAATGACTTGATTTTGTTGACCACATTCTTCCTTCTTTTTAATTAATTTCTGTTCTTTTTATAGTTCTTTCTTGTTCAGTTCTGTATTTCATTGTTTCCACTAGATTTCTTCTTTGGGACATGAAGAAATGTGTAGGGGTCAAAGATCTTGGAGGAAAAAAACTATCTTTTGAATATAGATTTCTAAGTTAACTGTATTATACTCATAAACCATGGTCCATATGCTATTTCACATGTGTCAAAGCATCCTTGGTGATCTTAAGATATGGTTAATTTTAATTGTTCAATATATTAGAAAAGACTGAGTATTCTGTAATTGTTAGGTATCAATTTCTATTTATGTTCATAGCATCAACTTGTTAACTGTATTCATATTTTTAGTATTCTTGGTAATTTTTTTGTCTGCCTATCTGTTCTAGATATAATAAAATCTCCCAATATTCTCATGGTTTTATCCACCACTCCTTATTATTAATAGTTTTTGCTTTACATATATTTCAAGGCTATGTTTTTAGGTACAAACAAGGCTATTACCCTCTGTTGAGAAGCACAGGGAAGTTAATCTGTTTACATTTTACATTATTGATGTATTTCTTTAATATGCTTTTTGTCATTTATTTTTTCCTTTCCTGCATTCTACTGAATTGATCCAGTTTTCTTTAGTCTCCTCTTTTCCTTCTGCTTATTTGGGAGGTTTCAATTATATTTATTACTTCACTGTCTATCTTTAAGTTCCTAATTTGTACACAAGCATATTTAACAGACTATAAAGTACTAAAGCAAACATGCTGGCACACATTACCAGTTCACTCAATTTCCCATTCCCATCTTCATTAATATTATCTAGAATTTTAATTATTTCTTTTTTAAACAAACCAAAAGAAAACTATTTTTATAGTCAATGATTAATTATATTTACTGGTATTTTTATAATTTATTCACTCATTCTTGTTTCTTGAATCTCACTTCTTGTCCCTCTAGGTTTACTTTTTCTCACTGCAATAAATCCTTAAATGTGTCTTTCAGTAAGTGTATAAAGTAGTCTATTTGTACCAAAAATGGAATTCTTAAGTAACCTTTATCTTCCCTTCTTATTTGAAGATATTATTCCATTGTCTTCTAACATTCCTGATGAGGAGGTCTGCATCAACATAACGCTCCTTCCTAATAACATCTATTTAGATGTTATATATAGATTTTTGCTTATCTTGCTTAGGATTTATGTGACCGATGAATGTCTGTCTTCCATTCTGGAGAATTCTTGGCCATTGTGTCCTTAAATGTAACTTTTCTGCCATTCCGCTTCTACTCTTTTCAACCTATAAAGTATAATGACCCTTCTTAATTCATCCTCCATTTGTCTCAATCTTTATATTTTTCATATTCATATTGTTTTCGGTGCTTTTAGTAACTCCTCTTTTTAACTGCATCTGGTAATAGCATTTCCCTAGATGTTTTAAATACAGTAACTATGTTTTCTATTCTATGACTTCTAGTTGGTACATTTTTTATGTCCATCTTTCTCAAATGGATGAACATTTTATAGATACTATTCTTTATCGCTTCAAAAACCTTAAAGTCACCCTAACACTATTTGATTTAAATTGTGTTTTGAAAGGACTGAATTCATGTCTGATTGCTGGTTTTGTTGTCTTGTTCACTGTAAGCTTTCCCAACTCTAACGCAGTGCTTTTCATGTTGAGTTTCTAAGTGTTTTTCCCATGGGTTATCTTTTCCACCTCCTCTCTGAACTTTTCTTTCCTCCATGTCTTTTTGACCGTCTCTACCTCACCCATGAGAAATACAGTCCAGAGACAATCTTGTATTGTCAACAGAGGATTCTATGCCATGTGAAAAAGGGAGTATATTAGTCACTGAGCAAGATTAAAGCTTAGGCTGGGTCCTCTCTGCATGGTTCTGTTTTCTCACCCCTTCCCACCACGCATAATGTAAAAAACCTGGGTAACCATCACTGTTTGTTGTTGTTGTTGTTTCCAGGTTCCTTTTATGTCAGGCAATTCCCAATCCAGGGCCTGTTTGCCACAAATGAGCCTCAGAGACCTCAATATGCATGGGGTGCTTCCGGACCTCATTACCCAAGAGCAGTCAGCTTCTTAATTTCCTCTGCCTTCTTCAAGATAACTAGTTCAGAAGGTTTATGTTTTCAATTTCACATATCCTTGCATTTTCCTGTTCAAGTTTTGATCCATATGGATATCTTAAATATGCCTATCATAGTAAGTTTATTTTAGAAGGTTAAATTGTGAACTCACAAACGCATAGCATCATAGCACCATCTCAATCAAAAGTATTATCTTCTGTGAACTACAACAGTTTTCACTTCTTTCCGAAGTACAGAGTGGAGTTTGCCTGAGGTTATATGACCTGTGATATCATGACAAATTGAAGGCTGAAGCAGATGAGAATCCAGCTGTTTTCTATTAAGTTAAATGCTAAAGAGATTTACAAAGATGTAAAACAATGCCCCTCTTCTCAATAACCTTTGGTTTTGAAAATTGTTAATTTTTCATTAAAATGTTGCTTCCATTAACTTGTAATAGGCTTACTACTATTATTTAATAAAATGCACATTTTAAATGATTTAATTTTTTAAAGATGCAATTGATAAGTAAAAATTATATATATTTATGGTGTACAACATGGTGCTTCAATGTACATATACACTGTGAAAGGATATCAAGCTAATTAACATATCTATCACCTCACATACTATTTTTGTGTGTGAAGAACATTTAAGATTCACTCGGTTAGCATTTTTCAAGTATATATTAACTACAGTCACCAAGCTGTACAACAGATCACCAGAACTTTTTAATCCCATCTAACCGAAATTCTGCATCCTTTGGCCAGCATCAGCTCATCATCTCTAGCCCATGACAGCCACCATTCAACTCTCTACTTGTATGAGTTCAACTTTTTTAGATTCCACATATAAATAAGATCATGCAGTGTTTATCTTTCTGTGTCTGGCTGATTTCACTTACCATATTGTCCTCCAGGTTTATCCATATTGGCATAAATGACAGCATTTCCTTCATTTTAAAGGCCAGTGTACAGATTACGTTTTTTTTATCCATTCATCAATCCATGGACAATTAGGTTGATTCCATAACTTGGGTAATGTGAATAATGCTGCAATGAACATGGAAGTGTACATTGATTTTCTTTGGATATGTAGCCAGAGTGAGACTGCTGGGTCATATGGCAGTTTTAATTTTTTTAAATGAATTTTCATAATGACTGTATTATGTTCCAACCAACAATGTACACAGGTTCCCTTTCTCCATATCTTTGCCAACAGCTGAAGCTTTTTAGTTTGATTCAATTATTTTTGTCTCTTTTTGCTTTTTCTGCCTGTGCTTTTAAAGTCTTATCCAAAACTGATTGCTCAGACCAACGTCAACGTTTTTCCGATATGTTTTGTCCCAGTAATTTTACAGTTTCAGGTCTTATGTTTAAGTCTTTAATCCATTTAAGAGTTGATTTTTTAATATGGGGTGTCTAATTTCATTTCTTAATATATGGATATCTAGTTTTCCCAACCCACTTATTAAAAAAAAAGTCCTTTCCCCATTGTATGTTCTTGACACTTTTGTCAAATATCAACTGACTATAAATTATGGATAGATTTCTGGTTTTATGCCAGTAACATGCTGTTTTTATTACTGTGCTTTACACTCAATTTTAAAATCAGGTAGTGTGATGCCTCCAGCTTTGTTCTTTTCACTGAAAGTTTCTTTGGCTATTTGGGGTATTCTGTGGTTTCATATGAGTTTTAGGAGTATTTTTCTATTTCTGTGAAAAATGACATTGGAATTTTTGATGGAAATTGCATTGAATCTACAGATCAGTTTGGGTAGTATGGAGATTTTTAACAATATTTTCCAATCCATGAACAAAATATATCTTTCTATTTGTGTCTTCAACTTCTTTCATCAGTCTTACAGTTTTCAGTGAACAGGTCTTTCATCTTTCTGGTTAAATTTATTCCTAAATAATGTGATAGTATTGTAAACGGAACTGTTTTCTTTATTTCTTTTTTGGATAGTTTATTGGTAGCACCTGGAAACAATATTGGTTTTTACTGCAACTTTACTGAATTACTTTATTAGTTTAACAGTTTTTTTCGTGGCATCTTTGGGGTTTTCTATATATAAGACCACATCATCAGCAGAGGCAATTTCACTTCTGTTCCAATTTGTATGCCTTTTGTTTTTCCGTATCTTGCTCCTGATCTTCATGGAAAACCTTTCTGTTTTCCACCACTGACAGTGATGTTAGATGTGGGCTTGTCATATATGACCTATAATATTTTGAGGCACATTCCTTCTATACATAGTTTGTTGAGTTTTTATCATGAAAGGATGTTGAATTTTGTCAGATGTTTTTTCTGCATCAATTGAAATGATCACATGATTTCCATGCTTCATTTTGTTAATGTGGTATGTCACATTTACTTATTTGTGTATGTTGAACCATGCTTACATCCCAGTGATTAATGTCACTTAATCATAGCATATGGTTCTTTCAATGTGCTGTTGAATTTAGTTTGCTAGTTATTTTGTAAAGAATTTTTACATGTGTGTTCATCAGGGACATTGGCCTGTAATTTTCTGTTTTTGTAGTGTCTTTGCCTGGCTGTGGCAGCAGGGTAATGCTGACCTCATAAAATGAGTTTAAAAGTTTTCCCTCCTCTTTAATTTTGTGGAAGAGTTTGAGATGGCTGAATGTTAATTCTTTCTTAAATATTTAGTAGAATTCACCAGTGAAGCAGTCAGGTACCAGGCTTTTCTTTGTTGGGAAGTTTTTGATTACAGGTTCAATGTCCCTACTGTTTACTGATCTGCTCAGGACTTCTATTTCTTCATGATTCAGTCTTGATTGATAGGTTGTATGTATCTAATAATGTGTTCACTTCTAGGTTGTCCAATTTGTTGGTGCATACTTGTTCATAGTAGTAGTATTTTATGATCCTTTGTATTTCTGTGGTATCAGTTGTAATAATATCTCCTCTTCAATTTACAATTTTGAGTCTTCTTTTTTCTTAGCCTAACTAATGGCTTGTCAATTTTATCTCTTAAAAAAAAAAACAAAACAGATTTCACTATTATGATTGTAGTTTCATTGATCTTTTCTAATCTCTATTTCATTTATTCCTGCTCTGATCTTTATCTTTCCTTCTTTCTCCAGACTTTGGGCTTAATTTGTTCATCTTTTTCTAGTTTCTTGAGGTGTAAAGTTAGGTTTTTTGGGATCTTTGTTTTCCTTAATATAGTATTTAACACTATAAACTTCACTTTCAGAATTGCTTTCTCTACACTGAAGTTCTGGCATGTGGCATTTCCATTGTCTCAAGATATTTTTTATTTCCCTTTTGATTTTTTTTTTTTTTTGACCTACTGGTTGTTCAGGAGTGAGTGTGTTGTTTAATTTCCACATATGCGTTGTTTCCCAATTTTCCTCATTATTGATTTCTAGTTTAATACTATTATAGTCAGAAAAGATACCTGACACAGATATCAATCTTCTTAAATTTGTTAAGGCTTGTTTTGTGGCCTAATATATGATTTGTCCTGGAGAATGTTCCTTGTATGCTTGAAAAGAATGTGTATTTTTCTGCAGTTAGATAGAATGATCTGTATATGTGTGAGGTCCACTTGGCCTACAGTATTGTTCAAATCTACTGTATCCTTATTGGTTTTCTATTTGGACAATCTATACATTGCTAAAAGTGGGGTACTGATGTGGTTTCACTCTATGTCCCCATCCAAATCTCATCTTGTGGCTCCCACAATTCCCATGCGTTACAGGAGGGACCAGGTGGGAGACAGTTGAATCATGGGGGCAGGTCTTTCCTGTGCAGTTCTCATCACAAGATCTGATGGTTTTGAAAACAGTAGTTTCTCTACATAAGCTCTCTCTTTGCCTGCCACCATCCAGGTAAGACTTAACTTGTTCCTCCTTGCCTTCTGCCATGATTATGAGGCCTCCCCTGCCATGTGGAACTGTAAGTCCATTAAACCTTTTTTTCTTCCCAGTCTTGGGTATGTCTTTATCAGCAGCATGAAAATTGACTAATACAGTAAATTCGTACCAGTAGAGTGGGGCGCTGCTGGAGAGATACCCAAAAATGTAGAAGCGACTTTGGAACTAGGTAACGGGCAGAGGTTGGAACAGTTTGGAGGGATCAGAAGAAGACAGGAAAATGTGGGAAAGTTTGGAACTTCCTAGAGATTTGTTGAATGGCTTTGACAAAAATGCTGGTAAATGATATGACCAATAAGGTCTAGGCTGAGGTGGTCTCAGATAGAGATGAGGAACGTGTTGGGAACTGGAGCAAAGATGACTCCTGATATGTTTTAGCAAAGAGACTGGCAGAATTTTGCCCCTGCCCTAGAGATTTGTAGAACTTTAAACTTGAGAAAGATGGTTTAGGGTACCTAGCAAAAGAAATTTCTAAGCAGCAAGCATTCAAGAAGTGACGTGGGTGCTGTTAAAGGCATTCAGTTTTATAAGGGAAGCAGAGTATAAAAGTTCAAAAAAATTGCAGCCTGACAATAAGATAGAAAAGAAAATTCCATTTTCTGAGGAGAAATTCAAACCTGCTGAAGAAATGTGCTGAAGTAATGAGAAGCCAAATTTTATTCCCCAAGACAATGGGTAAAATGCCTCCAGGGAATATCAGAGGTCTTCACAGCAGCTCCTCCCATCACAGGCCTGGAGGCATAGGAAGAAACAAATGGTTCTGTGGGCTGGGCCCAGGGTCCCTATGCTGTGTGCAGCCTAGGGACTTGGTGTCCTGTGTCCCAGCTGCTCCAACCATGACTAAAAGGGCCAAGGTAGAGCTTGGGTCATGGCTTCAGAGGGCAGGAGCCCCAAGCCTTGGCAGCTTCTATGTGGTATTGAGCCTGTAGGTGCACAGATCAAGAACTGAGGTTTGGGAACCTCTACCTAGATTTCAGAGGATGCATGAAAATGCCTGGATGTTCAATCAGAAGTTTGCTGCAGGGGTGAGGCTCTTATAGAGAACCTCTGTTAGGGCAGTGCAGATGGGAAATGTGGGGTCGGAACCCCCACACAGAGTCCCTACTGGGGCAGTCCTTACTGGGGCACTCCCTAGTGGAGTTATGAGAAGAGGGCCACTATCCTCTAGACCCCGGAAGGGTAGATCCACCTACAGCTTGCAATGTGCACTTGGAAAAGCTGTAGACACACCAGCCCATGATAGCAGCTGGGAGGGAGTCTGTACCCTGGCAAAGCCATAAAGGTAGAGGTGCCCAAGACCATGGGAACCCACCTCTTGCATCGGCATAACCTGGATATGAAACATGGACTCAAAGGAGATCATTTTGGAGCTTTAAGATTTGATTGGCCAGCTGGATTCTGGGTTTGCATAGGGTCTGTAACCCCTTTGTTTCAGCCAATTCCTCTCATTTGGAATGGCTGTATTGACCCAATACCTGTACCCCCCATTGTATCTAGGAAGTAACTAATTTGCTTTTGATTTTATAGGATCATAGGCAGAAGGGACTTACCTTGTCTCAGATGAGACTTTGGACTGTGGACTTCTGAGTTAATG